ATATATTCCGATCTCCAACCAGGCCATAAAAAGCAGTGTTCATTAGCTCAGCTGCATGTATTCCTGTTCAGGGGAACATAAATGAAAGGGTGGACGGTTGCCTGGATAGCAAGCAGGGCAACAGACAACGCAATAGGCAGGGGCGCAGGCAGGTTTCAAGGCACCGTGTTGGCAGGGCGGCAGGCGAGAGTAGAGACTGAGCAACAGGCAGGCAGAGGCAGGATGGTGGGCAAGCTGGTAAGCAGGGTAGAGGCAGAGTGTTAGCCAGGGCGATAGACATGGCAGGGAAGAAGATAGGGCAGCAGTGGAGGTGGCTGGGAGGGCGACAGGCTAGACAGAAGTCAAGGCAGAGTGAGCCCGCCCTCCCTGCCTCGGGGCGGAAGGGTGGAGGGCAGGGCGGTGGGCAGAGCAGGGTGGAAGGCAGGGCGGCAGGGTGGGCAGGGAGGGCGGCGGACTTGGCAGCAGCTCATAATGGAAGCGAGATCGGGAGCGGGAGGGTCGGGGCTCACAAGATCCCGAGCAAGACTGTCCAGCTCTATAAATAACCCCAATTTCCGAGCAAAGGTCAATGAGGCTCATTAAAATAAAGTAAATGAAGTGAAGCATGCACCGATTTATGCAGCGCTATTCATTTGCGAGAACAAAGACCGAGGTATTAGCCTTAATTATCATATACACGTACTTACCATGTTCTCTTCTTTCCCTTGTTGCTAATGATAACTAAAAAGATAAAGAAAGAATTGTCGTCTAAAGCTGAATGTAGGCATCTTTAGACGTCCTTTGAATTTCCCATGAGCTTCAAATCGGAAACTCCCTGCATTATAGTAGTATGATGCATTCCATGTGCACAGCCTATTTCCTATTTTGCTCTGTACTGATTAGGAATGTATATCCTGTACAAATGTTGTGAATTGTCTGAAATATCCTTCATTTTGAGACAGTATTTTAATATTCATGAAAAAGCTAAACTATGAATAGAGCTGCTCTGATTCCGGTGCACTGTCTATTCAGTAATTAATTTTCGCACCGGTGTTGATTTTGCAGCGAAAGTGGAGCAGCGAGTGCGGCGGCGACGGCAGCAGCGTGGGCGAGGAGTTCGTGGAGGGCGACGCAGGCGCCGTGCCCGTCACTCTCTGCCTCGTGCTCATGATCAGCTACATCTGCGGAGGAGCCGCTGCCTTCGCTTACGCCCACCAGTGGTCCTTCCTGCATGCCATCTACTTCTGCTTCTCGTCCCTTACTACGATCGGCTTCGGTGATCTTGCTCCTGAAACCACGCCCAATGTCGATACGGGTGTCCAGATGGCGCTCCTGGGCGCGGCGCTCTACCTACTGGTTGGCATGGCACTTATTGCCACCTGCTTCAACCTCATGCAGGAGCACATGACCAACCGTGGCTACGGTCTTGGGCGACGCCTCGGCAGCCTCATGGCTACAAGCAGCAGTGGCAGCAATCACCGCTTTCACCTGGACGATACCTGACATATGGAGACGGTGGCTCTCTTCACCTACGGTTCGGGCTGCACCCCCAAGCACTCAGGCAGCAAGCCCTCTACGCTGTCGCAGCCCTGCTTGGTCAACACCAGTTGCAGCCTCGCCAACAGCACCAACGCTCGGCCTCTTAACTCCAGCCTGACTAACACCATCTACAAGGTCACACCTGATGAAGACAAGCTCGTGACCCCCAACAACACCCTGGGCAGCATCCCCCGGACCGGCAGCCCCCTACAGTCCCCTGCCGACTTGGCCACCAGCCCCGCCAAGGCCAACAACGGCAGGGACAAGTGTGACACGCTGTACGGCACACTCCGAAAGGAGCTGCCGCCCACCCTAAAGGCCGTGCCTCCGCCCACCATCCCTCCCTCATCTATTACGCCCTCACAGACGCCCATGCTATCTACGCGTACCAAAAAGACGGTAACAATCTGCGACTCGGCCGACATCGGGAGGGCAGTCAGTCCCCTTTCCCCGGAGAGGATATGACACGGCCAATGATCGGTTGCCTCGTACCTGTATTAGGGGTCCGCGTGGCTTGGGAACGTTTCCACGACTGTGGCAAAGTCGTAGCAAACCAGACTCGTCATAAAAAAAGTCTGCTCCACGTTGTATTCAGACAGGGATTCTGATCTACGTGAAGTGACAAAACAAAGTTTGATGTGTGATTCGTTTAGTTCTAAACGTGGCACAGACGGCCGAAGTTCCGCTTGTCAGCAAGCGGGATGTGATCGGATATGTGAAAATAAGTTAATACATATGACGTGACACTCTGGCTCACTACTGACGTGTGCTGGCATTGACCGACAAGGGATGCCAGGAAGATTCCCCCAGCTAAGGCGGGCGTGAGTCAAAAGACTTATGTGTGTTTGTGTATGCGTGTGTGTGAATAATAAAAGCTGTCCCTTTGTATTGTTCATGTCTCCTCTATGTTCCAAGGCTGTATATCTTGTATTTTTACATCTGTGTAAGAGGTCCAAAAGAAAAATAAAGATTTAAACAAAAG